TATTTAGATTCACTTAGGATAATTCAAACTGAGTATTCTATAAACAGAGTGGTTTTCAGGAACATAAATTGTGACAAGCAAGTGATACTATGTTTTATTAACTGTGAAATTCTTTATAATGGATTATTTATGAATATAGCTATTATTTCATCCCATCTAATTATTCGTGTCCAGAGTCAGCTGCTGCCATCACATACTCCACTTCCTCTTCTCTTTCCCACACTGCCTTTTTCTTTTTGTTCCTAGTTGGACACTACCTACTAATCAAGTTTCCACCACGGTGTTTTCTACAGTATTTCTGTGGTTCCTTGCTGAGTTTTTTTGTAACCGCCCTACTTGCCATATTTCTCCCTAACTTTATAAGAGTTGGAGCAATCAATACTATAGAGAAAATCTCAGCTATCATCATCGACTCACATAGTAACCAGCACTGATGTACCTGTCGTTGATATGCCTTAGTTAATTTGGCATGTAATTGTTCCTTTTCAAGTTGTTTGTTTGTAGTTTAGAAATCTGTTTAAGTTGAACTGGGTTGAAAGCAGGATATAAAATCAATGCGAATCATTTTGGAATACGCTCTCTAGCTTTTAGAAAAGATTATTCTATCCCTTCTTATTGTCATTCAGCAAACATTCACTGTAAGCCTGCTATATACCAGCTATTGTATTCAGCACGAAAAATATAAAAATGGGCATACTCAGGGTCCTTGCCCCCTGGCGGGGGTGTGTGGGGGTAAATCATGATTTTGATCTTACCTCTCCAAGACATCACGGTTCCATCACTAACCACACGTCTACCAATAAGCAGGTTACTTCTCTAGTCCCCTGTTTCCTCATCTTGTTAACGGGACCATTTTCCTAGTTTCTCTTTAATGTCCCTTATAGCTGTAAAAGTGGCAGTGTCTTTAATTACTGCATATTTTCTTGGGATTGCGTTATCACTGCTTAGACAAACCAGCCACAGGGTGCAGTTAAAAATAAGTAGGGGAAACTCCAGGGTTACTGGTTCCACATGTAAAGAGCTTGGGAGTCGCTGTTTCAAACAAGTAAAAAGCTGAACAGACTGAAAATAGGCACTTCTTGAGCCCATAGGAGAGAGAAGGACACAAGGTAAACCACTGCCCCCAAATTTAGAGAGACAGTCCCGTATAAGGAGTCATGGCTTTCTAGAACGAGACCCGCAAGTAATACATCGAACAAAGGAAGTCTCTTCAACAAATGGTGCTGGAACAACTGGACATCCATATGCAGAAAAATAAATCTAGACGCAGACCTTACACCTCTCACAAAAATTAACTCAAAATGGATCATCAACCTAAATGTAAAACACGTAACTATAAAACTCCTAGAGATAACATAGGAGAAAACCTAGATGACCTTGAATGTGGCGGTGACTTTTTGGATACACCACCAAAGTCGTGATCCATGAAAATAATTGATGTGCTGAACTTCATTAGAATTTAGAAATTTTGTTCTGCAAAAGACACTAGCAAGAGAATTAAAAAAGCCACCGACCGAGAAAAATATTTGCAAAAGACACATCTGCTTGTGGACTGTTATCCAAAATATACAAAGAATTTTTAAAATTCAACAGCAAGAAAACAAACAAGTGAATAAAAATGGGCCAAAGGCCTGAACAGACACTTCACCAAAGAAGATATACAGATGGCAAATAAGCATATGAAAAGATGTTCCACATCATATGTCATCAAAGAAATGTAAATTAAAACCACAATGAGATACCACTATACACATATAAGAATGGCAAAAATCCAAAACACTGACATCACCAAATGCTGGCGAGGAGGCAGAGCAACAGAACTCTCATTCACTCCTGAATGCAAAATAGTGCAGCCACTTTGGAAGACAGTTTGGCGGTTTCTTATAAAACTACACATACTCTGAATACACAATCCAGCAATCGCACTCTTTGATACCCAAATGAGTCGAAAACTTAAAGTTACACAAAAAACTTGCATATGCATATGTATAGCAGCTTTGTTCGTAATGGCCAAATCCTGGAAGCAACTAAGATGCCTGTCAGTAGGGGAATGGATAAATAAACTGTGGTGTATCCAGACAATGGAATATTATTCAGCACTAAAAAAGAAACAAACTCTGAAGCCATGAGAAGACATGGAGGAAACTTAAATGCATATTACTAAGTGAAAGAAGCCAATCTGAAAAGCCTACATTGTGTATGATTTCAACTATATGGCATTCTGGAAAAGGCACAACTCTGGATCCGTGGTTGCAGGGGGAGAGTAGTTAGATGAACGGGCAGAGCACAGAGGATTTTTAAGATATGAAAGTACTCTGTATGCTATGATAATGGGAGGTACATGTCATTTTATATTGGTCCAAACCTGTAGAATGTACAATACCAAAAGGGAATCCTAAGGTAAACTGGACTGTGGGTGATCACGATGTACCAACGTAGATGCATCTTTGGTAAACAATGTACCACTCTGCTGAGTTATGATGATAGTGGGGAGGCTATGCATGGGTGGGGGCAGGGGGCCGCATGGGAGCTCTCTGTACCTTCTCCTCAATTGGTAGTAAACCTAACCAGCTCTAAAAAAATTAAGTCTTTTTAAAAGATAATGAAAAAAAAAAAAAAAGCAGGGGGCAGTCGAATAGATAATTCTTAATTTAAGAGCTTCTGTCTCAAATGAAAATTTTTGAATCTCTAGTAATACCTGCCTTTCCTTTTCCCACAATTTCACTCATATGTTGTTTATAAATCTTAACTCTTAACTATGGGGTTTTGGCTCCCTGTTAGGTGAAATATTTCATTTAACTTAGCCAAAGCCAGACTCAGAGCAGCCTGGGAATAGTTAGGCAGCTTCCCTTCTTCCCAGTACCAGGCTCTGTTTGTTTTTCTTTTGTTTGTTTACTTTTGGGGAATGGAGGAGTTGTTTTGACCCCTCCCCCCCCCCCGCCCCACACACACACACACACACTGATGGTAGGTTGCAGCACTGTCTGCTTCACTGAAGCATATGCTGCTGTGCTTTGGCCATAGATTTGAAGTGCCAATATCACCAGGGCCTCGTCACTGGAGTCCCGTCTGCTTCAGCATCCTCAGGCCTCATTTCTGCTTGTAATCAGATTACGGGGTCTGAGCTGTTCCAGCCAGTAGTCTCTTGCTTCGCGGTTACTATGCTCTCAAGGACACAAGTGCCTGATTGCTGGAGCCCTGCGCTGAAAAAAATCTCATTCCAATTTTGCTTAGCTGGGCCAAAGGCTGTGGCTGCTTGAGAATTAGCTGTAGAGCAGGCTCTGTTACTCAACTGTCTATGTGTAACCATGCTCAGAAGCCCAGGGATGTCCAGCTCTATGGGAGCTTTCAAGTTCTCTGAGAAACAAGGTAAGGCAAGAAAAACAGAAAATGCACTTCTGTGTGTATGTTTTATAACATAGTGAATGCCTCATATCCTCCGTTTTACCTTGTATTCTCCTGTGCGTCCACTTAGTTATATAGTTTTCTCAAAGGACACTTTAAGTATTTATTTGAGTTTATAAATTGGCTTATCCTGGAATTGCTGGAAAATGTGAATTTTTTTGTGTGTTATAACTTAAAGATATTACTAAACCACGAAAGCCTTTATGTAGGAAAAAATGCAAGTTAAATTGGAATGCCCAAACTTTGGATCAAGTTCTGCACTTTAGCTAAAATATTTTTCTAAACCAAATGCTACAGATATTAAATTATTTCCAGTAGGCAGCGGTGAGTATCTTTTTATTAAATCTCCATGTGACACAGTTAGGAACAAAATCTTGTCTTTTTAGCTGCTTCCTTTCTAGCACGGAGGAAAATGTATGCTCTCCATTCAACGACTGAAGTGGTATCACACATTCAGTTCACTGATTGAACAAAAATGAAATGCTGAGGTTATTTTGAATGTCACATTTGAAATTCAGCCCTTGTAAATAAAAATATTTTCCAGCACAAATGCACTATTAGGAAGTGGTTAGAACAATTCAGGCCTCAGATTCAGGAGTTTTCTTCTGTAATATTTGATAGCTTTTTGAACTGAGTTCTCTTTTTCTAAATAGGGGAAAAGCCTAGATGTTTAGTTGGCATTATACTTTCCATTTTATTGTATTTCTCTAGTCGGTCAGAATTTTCAAATTCCAGGATTCTGGATGTATTTTGATAGATAATAACATGTCAGCATGTGGTATATTTTGTACCTCCTTTTCCTCAGGCTTCTGACCCCAAATATTGAACAGTAAAAGGCACTTCCGTCGGGGAGAGTTTCTCTAAGTGGTCTACTTGTGGTTTTCTTGATGGACAAATGGTTGCTATGCCCAAAGCTGTAAGATAGATTACTTGCCATTAGACTGGTTATAAATTTGTCTGTGCCTGGTTTTGATTAACCAGGTCACTCGGCGGGGTGTGTGTGTGTGTGTGTTTGCCGAATGGGGTCATTCCCAGCTCTCTTTACATAATATATGTTTATCTTCAAAAATAAATAAGTGGTTTATTTGATGTGTTGTTATTGTTTAGGATTTAACGAAGACAATAAAAACAGGGCTTAAGTGCTCCCCTGCTCTTCATCAGATCTTCACTGTGCCCCCTCCCGTGCATTCTTCAAGAGCATCTCAGACAGGGATGACTTTCAACATTTCTGGTTTTCTTGACCAACATTGTTTAATTTTTTTTTTCTCCCAAGTATATAACTATATTATTCAATATTTAATTCTTCGAGTTATTCTTTTAGCCATATGAATTTCAATGATAGCATCGAACAATGTCAGAGTTTTTTCTTTTTCTTACCCACAGAATAAGTTGGCTTCTTTTCAATAGAGGAAAAAAAAAATGTATATAAAATGTATTTAGGTGTCATTTTTTTAAATCACAGTTCTTATCTGGTTAATGGTTTCCTTTTTATTAAATTATATGTTCATGGGGAGTTTAAAAAACATTTTTCCCATTGGGTTTTTAAAGATTAATTGTATAGTTATTTCAATTTTACATTATTTCTTTCCCTTTAGATTGCAACAAGAAAAACTTAAGCTTCATCAGATTCCCACGTCAAAGAAAAGTTACAAGGTAAAGTGGTCTCTGCTCAGGAATCTTGTTTTGAAGATCTGTAGTAGCTTTTAAAAGTATTCTCCTAAATTCCTAATTCATGAGTTTAAGTGTTTGGCAATATGTTTTGTCTGCAGAGTTTAATTTATTAAAATATATGAAGCCAGCTAACTTAACAGTACAGCCAGCAAAGATTCTTTTTATGCATTTAATGCTGTTTATGGGAACTATTTGCAGAGGCGGATGTTGGTGGGTCTATAATTGCAAACTTGTAAAGAGCTATTGTCCTTTCCTTCTCATACCTGCCTCTAAGCGGGATGTCCTGTTGCAATCTGTTCCTCAAGTAAGGGAGCTTTTGATTTTTTAAGAAAGGGTTTAGCCTTGTTCCTCTTCTCTCTCCCCCCTCCTTCTCCTCTTCCTCCCACCCTTCCTTCTTCCCTTCCTTTCTTCCTTCCCTCCCTCCACCCATCTGCCTGGTGAGTTCTCGATGCCTGCTCTGTTACCCTTCCAGTTCCCTTGGCTACAGGATATTGTGGATACTAATCTGATTTACCTAATTGCTAAAACTCTGTGGTTTGATGTAAGATAATATAAAAGTTAAAATTTGTGCCAAACAAGATGGCTCTCTCTCAGGTGCTTCTTAGATTGCTGTCTCTAATAGAGTTTGAGGTTTTCAAGAGGAGCCACAAATTAGAGACGTGGATCTCAACCTACACTTCGTTGTGCTAAAAAGACCCAACTTTGTTCTACCCCTCATTCCACTCAAGTGTTCTTGTTCCTAATGTTTTATGTACGACATTATTTCTTTACTAAAAAGAGTTTGCATTTCAATAGCATTGGAATAAACAGTTGTCTAACCACTATCCTAATCAGGCTAAGATTGGCTCCGCATTCGAAAATGGCAGAATTGATCTTGCCAACACACAAGATGGGATAAAGCCTTGATGAATTCCATCCACATCTTAGTATAAGGTAAACCAGAGCAACACTGAGCTAGGGTCATCAGGAAGGTTCTTATTTGACTCATGAAATCTTCCCTTTCTAGCGATTGACAGAATCTCCCATATTTTGCATCTTTGCCATATTTTTAACAGAATCTAAGGCTTATGTCTTAGTCCATTCAGGCTTCTATAACAAAATATCATAGACTAGGTAGCTTATAAATAATAGAAATTTATTCGTCACAGTTCCGGAGGCTGGAAGTCTAAGATCAAGGTGTCAGCATGGTGGCGTGAGGACCCTCTTCCAGGCACAGACTGCCAATCTCTTGCATCCTCACTTGGCAGAATGGTCTAGAGAGGCCTCTAATTATTAGAGAACTAATCTCATTATGAGGACTTCACCCTCATGATTAATCACCTTCCAAAGGTCCTGCCTCTTGATATCATCACCTCTGGAGGGTTAGGATTTCAACATATGAATTTGGGGGAACACAAACATTCAGACTGTAGCAGCTAAGTTCCCAATATGTCCCTAGCAGGTGAGTTTCGCTCTAATAGTGACCAAGAAGAAGGAAGAGAAGGAAAGGGAGACGGGAAGGCATTGCTTACTCAAGCATAGCAAAAGTACAAAAGACGAAGTTCAGACAGTTCATGGAGAGAGGCTCAGAGGGACACAGCTATTCTGAAATATTGGGTATTATTTCATGTGTACCTGTTAAAATATGGCCTTCTTGCCATGGTACGAATTACAAAATGGGCTGGAGATACAAGAACCTGCCTTCTTCAAAGGAATCTAGTCAACCAGACACCAGAGGTAAAAATATGAGGTAATGGGTTTTCATCTCCCATATCTTGTATTTTAAACTTCAATAGAAGAGTGAGCAGATCGTAGATGTAGGGGAGCCTTTCACAGCATGGGTGCTGAATAGTCCTTGTAATAATAGATTCCACATTTTGTAAAAGATAGAAGGTGATGGCAGAATATCTTATTCTTGCTTTAGTAAGATTTCCCCTTATTGCTACTGCTGGACATTTAATAGGTTAATGAGACACATTTTAAAACATTATCACAGAAGCAAGGGCAATCTCTCCTTAGATTATTGAAGCAGAGAGGAGATAAAAGTATGAAAAAATTAGTCATAAAGAGCGAGCGCTATTTCAGAAGAGATCAAGATAGAGAAAAATACAAAAGGTGATTCTTAATATTCAAAACACTAAAAATTATAATTCAGAAAATTAAAACTGTAGCTTTTGCTTTAGTTATATATGGAGAAATAGTTTCATACAGAATTATAGGCCCATACCTTTCGGTCGAGCTGAAGCCGTCCACCAAGGCCTGCAGAGGTTGTCCAGGCAGAGACTCCCTCTCCCGAGGGGGATGACCAGTGAGCAAGAGCATGGCCACCCTGAACAAGCCCGATCCAGTCTGATCTCGGAAGCTAAGCAGGGTCGGACCTGGTTAGTACTTGGATGGGAGACCACCTAGGAAGACCAGGTGCTGTAGGCGTAAAAAGTAAATAAAAAATAAGGGATTGTAAGCTGACAAGGTCCTTGCAATCTGTGAGGTCAACCAAGGGCTGCCTCGCCTAAAAAAAAAAAAAAAAAAAAAAAGAAAAGAAAAAAGAGCATGCCCCAGGATCCGAGGCCCAGTGCTTGGAGTCACTTTGCAGTTGGGAATCAGCCCTCCCTGTCACACTGCTCTGGTACCTCTGACTCCGAAAAGTGGGAAGAGGGAGATGTGAGGGCTCTTTGGGCATTTTGTTTCATCAGCCATTAGATGATCAGGAGTTACTCATTCACGAACGGTCCAGAATTTTTTGCTAGCATGTCTTACCTACAGTTTTCACAACTGACTAGTGCCTTTGGGTATAGAGAGTCAAGGAAAGATATATGATTTTTTTCAAAACCTAGTTTCACATTGACTGGAGGGGTCTTGCACTGGTTACACCTTTTGTGACATGAGTCACAGCCACGCTTTCCGACCCATTCTCCTTATTTTGTCTGCTCATCCACTTCCTCAGAAGTTAGCAGGCGTTAGTGGGACCAAGAGAAAGAGGCAACAGAAGCAAGAACAAAATGGAAAGACAGCCATGTGGATTCCAATAATAAGAGTTTACCTTGAAGATGGAGGCTTTAAAAGTAGACTACTTTATAAACGTCTGCAAATATACTGATATTTTCATTCATGTATGCAAGGTGAGCAAAGGTAATAAGGAGAAATGTTTTCCCAATCATATATTCTGAAGACGAAAGAATATAAAAAAAGGAAAAAAGGGAAAGCGGAAGAAAGCTACTATAACATTAATTATATACCCTTCTAATTATTCTCAATATTTGTAATTCTATTCGTCCCTAACATAACAACAGTGTATAAAGTCTATATAAAATACTTCAGAGTGAGTCGTAGTATACATTTGAAGTATTATATTATAGTCATTCATTCATTCAAAGCATATTTATTGATTTTAAAAAACATTTTAAAAAATCAATAGTTTTAAATAAAATAAGACACTCGTTGTATGTTCTACAATGCGAGAAAATTACAGAGGTGCAAAATGTAGATTTGGTGCCCAGTGGGACAGGCACTGGGTCAGGGGTTCTTCCTGGAGGAGCAGGACTCAGCCAGATGGAAGGAGGCTGGCGAGGACGGAATGCAGGCGAAAGACGGAGCGTTTACAGTGAACCACGTTAAGAGGCATGAGAGATTTTCCTAACAGCGCTTTGGTTTGGCAATGGCTTCTGACCAACTGTGAAGGCTGTCCCTTCTACTGATGCCGACACTATTTGTAGCTTGTTTCAAGAAAGTAAATGCACGTTGGAGCCACGGGGTGTCGGGCGATGCTTGTGAATCCAACTCTGTAAAACTTCAGCAAAATGTTTAACTCGGGGGTAGCTTCTTAGCCTTCATTAGTGGCTTCATTGAGCTTTTTGATAAGCAGTAAAAAGGAGGCAAACAGAGACATACAGATGCTTATTTTTGGAAATATAAGATAATATTTGGACCCCAAGGTCAGTGGCTTAAGGTGAATATTTCAGGGATTGCATCATTTTGTTTTAATACAGAATTTTTTTCTTGAGATTTTAGTTTCCCAAAGAAAGTACAGAACTTTATCGAGATATTTAAACGAACAGTTAATCAACTGAAATAGCCTATCGTTCCTTAAGTAGGGAACATTTCTGCAGTAATTTAATTTTTTAGGTTTATACTAAATCATACATCTGAACAAAACACTGAAAGGAATCTTCACTGCATTACCATTCACTGTTTAGCAGTCAGTGCTAATTCTAAGTTTTGATCTAAGCAAGTGTCCTAGGATCTTCAAGCCGTCTGAAGTGTAGTTTGTAAAGACTACTATTCTCAAGACTTTTTATTAAATAATGTGAATACATGGCCCCCATGTTTATGAATATAAGCCATACCACGTTTATAAGCAATAGCTAAGGTTGCAGATGAGCTTGGTCCTAGGAAGAGGGGATGGCGTACCGTGTTGTGGGATATATGGAAGTTCCTCGACATTGATGTGTGAGATATAGATTATTCGTGTGTCCCACTTGCCTAGTATGCACAGCACCTTCCTCAGGCTTTTCTTGGGCCTCTGTGGAAGTGTATGCTCTAGGGCAGAACCATTAACAGAGGCCAAGTATGTGGGGAAGGCCAGCTCTGCAATGAATGTGTTTTCAGGCTGATCGTTCACCTCTCTGGATGTGATCCTATTATTGAAGAATATTCGTTTCCTGTTGCCTTCCTGCGAGGCAGCAGCTCTGTTGTCTAGCCCAGCTCCAGGCTCTCTCCAGTCTTGGGGCAGCAACTGCAGATAGTGTTAGAGCAAGAGCTGAATTTGCATCTCATATGTTCTTCTTGCCAAATATGTCTGCTTAGGGAAATCATTTAACAGTTTCCTAATCTGTAAACCAAGGAGGATAATAGTTGCAGTGGTGTGCGGTAGTGCCTTGTCAGAGCAGGCGTGCACCTCTCTTCCAGTTTTGAGCTCAGCGAGTCCTGTAGGTAGCTTGAAAATTGGCTATGGTGGGAGTATTTACACTACGAGCAAAAACTGCAAAGCAAGTGCTTTAGGGGGGCGGAGAGGGAGAGGTGCACAAGAGGAAGGAGCCAGTTGTTAAACATTTACTAGCATAGCACTAAGTAGTTCCTACCTCATAGGGCCTTGTGAAGATAATTAAGATAATATACGGGATATGCTTAGCATAGAAAGAAAGTACTTAGAAAGTACTCAATCCTTTTATTCTTCTCCCCTTTCGTTTCCTCTTACTTGTCCCAAGACACGTTTTCATGAACCTTTCAGACATATTCACCATGCTTTGATTTCTTGGTTGTTGGAAGGCATTTGTTACTTTAATATAATTTCAGCACTGGAGGAAAACGTGTAAATCACCTAGACAAGTTGCTGATTTTTCTGAAGAAGTAAATGTAGCACAGAGAAGTTGAGTCATTAATCCAAGCTGAAACAGCTGTTGGTGGCTCCAGGACAGGTGGTCAATCTGAACGACGTTTTTACCACCCTATGTTATGCCACCTGCCTGTGCTGATGAAATTATTTGCACACACAAAAACAAAATCATACTAACGTAACCATAAATAAATAAAAAAGTTACCAATTAGTTCCCCCAAATAAAACATTTTATTTGTAATCTACATACACATATTTACATATATGTAACAGTAGCATAATTTTTACGTTCTGCAATTTTTTACTTAATATCTATTTTGATTTAAACTAATTTAAATATTGTATTAATGGAGTAATTTTTAGCTTTCAGAAAGAGTTCTTGCTTGAAGATAAAGAACAACTTGTTAACTTCAAAAGAAGAATCGATGCTAAGTTTTTAACTGCACTCCCTAAAGGTGAGACTTTCTAAATGGTGACTAGTGTCCTGGGCATATAAGTATTATGTTATGTGATTTTCTTTGAGAATTCTTTCGCTGACCTCCAGCTTATACTGTCTTTTGTGTCCCTTTCTGCCTCATCCAAGAATTAACCTCAATTCAAGGACCCCTCTTCTTGTATTTTAGGCATCCTCAAGTTTTCACTGGAGCCCGGGTGGGAAAGGGGCAGGAGGGTTCCTAGAATCAACCTTACCTCTTCCCTCTCCTACCTTTTCACTATCTCCAGGGGTGGTGAATTCTGCCCATGCGCCCATCGATTCTCCATTCAGCCCCTCCCATGCCCTCCAGCCTCCTGATGTTTTCCAGGGTTATGTAATACACACCGGACCATCAGTGCAGACTGTATCTTCATCATTTCTCTTCTTCCCCAAGTAGGCACTCGCACATTCAGTAAATTAGTATTTTCGTTGGTAAAGATGGATATGCAATACAATATTTGCATCTGCTGCGTGCCGAGGACCCCCACTTTTGCCTGTGAAATGATACGAATGTTACCTGGTCTTTGTCTCCAGCACTGTATCACGAGCACAGGATAGTACCAACTCACACACTGTCTTCATCTCGAACGAGCTATGTAACCCTTACTTCAGATTTTTGCAAGGTCAGATTTTTTTTGTACTTGAAAGAAAAAAAATACCACGAGATCAAGCCCAAAAGAAATTAGATCAGAAAAACTATTCTTTTAATAGAAACTAAATCCCGTTTAAAAGGCCCACTGACAAATCGACATACATCGTGATGAATTGAATGGGTGATGTGCTTAGACACAGTCTGATGAAGATTGATATTTGAAGGACCCCTGGGATTTGGCCTGGTAGAGTAAACTTAAACAGGGCCATTTTGTCAAATACATATAAAACTGTCAACTGGAATGCAGGCTTATGCTACATTGCTTCAGGGGCCAAAAATAAGAATAATGTGTAGAATTACAAGGAAGTAAGTGATATTTCATCTGAGAAAGAAAATTCTGGAATTCATAGGACTGAGAAGTGAGATGGGCTGCATTGCGATCTTATTAGTCCTCCTCATTAAATGTATAAGGAAGGTTCTATGGCTATGTCGTCATGGGTGGGACAGAGGCTGTGGAGGGTCCCACCTGGATGGGTGTGTGGACCGGGTGTGAAATGAAAGGGTCCTTCCAATTTCTAAGACTTTGCGAAAGACAAAGAAACTCAATTAAATCTGAGCCAAATTTAAAATCTATGGAGATGATCAAAACAAATTATAACAATGAACAGATGATTTTAGAAATCGCTTAGATTTGACTGATTAGGCCAAGTTCTATGACAAAAGTCATTTCCACCATTATGAAGGAGGGTCCCTCTTCCTCTCTGCCCTAGTTCTTTTTTTAAATACAATAGACAGTTTCAGGATCAGAAAAATTAAAACAATATGAGATGTTAGCTTCCTAAAGATTCAATAACTTAAAACTTCGTATGTAACAAAGTTTAGAAACACATTTTAAAACACATAAGCTTATTAATCAGTTTTATTAGAAATTTTGTCATAATTGGTCATAAAAACATAATTTTCGCAAATCGATATGATCATTTTATGTGTTAACCAGATTTATATTTCTATTATAATTACCAAGATCTCTTCTCCTGAATTTCATTTAAATTTTGTCTTATTTCACAATCTATGCCTTCATGAATTGGGTGGGGCACGCATGTTTGGAAAGACTCATGTATTTCCGGCAAGCTGTCATTTCTCCATCTTAACAAATATGTTAATAATTCTATCAGCGCTTGGCAATATAATGTTTAAAAATAGGCATTGATTTTTGACTGTTTTAATGGCCTAGAGTTTTATGTTTGTTTATAAGATTACAGAATTTCTTTTTGTTCATTTAGCGTGAGGGATTCTTCTGTGAAATGGAGCATTAAAATGATCATTGATTTTCCTCTAAGGGGCTTCCTTTAACTGTGTATCACGATCAGGTAATCAGAGATTTAAAAACTTTACCTGTATGACGATTATAATGTTAAAATAGATTTTCCATTTAGGAATTATGAAATGGACCAAATATATTACTCTACCTATTTTAACAGCTTTATTAAAATATAATTCATATACCATACGACTCATCCATTTAAAGCATATGGTTCCGTGGCTTTTAGTAGAATCACAGAGTTGTGCATCCATCACCACAGTCACTTTGAGAACATTTCCATGACCCCAAAAGAAAACCCGGCACTTCTTAGCCATCACCCCTCCCCCTTATCCCTCTAATTTTGTAATCACTTATTTTGTAAGCTGCTTGTCTTTATTTTAGCAGCTTCCATCCCAAAGTAAAAGTTAAAGTGCTTATTCCTGTGGGAAGCAAGATCAGTATTCAGAATATTCTGGATCTGGCCTGTGCTCTTCAGCTGTCAAAGGCAGGGTAAGAGAGATGTGTTCTTGGCAGTTCCCCTGCCGCTTGTATTTCTTTGGAAGATTCTATGTATTCAGGTTTGGAGGACTGAACTCAACAATAACTTTACCAGAAAATCTGTTTCTCACACCTAATTGAAGAAACTGTGTTTCCCAAGAAAAGCACCTGGCAAATCTGAAAGTTGGTATTAAATATTATTACAAAGCATACTAGGCAGTTAAGTTACTTTATAAAGTATTATAGCCCTGATGTCAAATCCCCTCAAATTGCCTTGCTTGGAAAATGACCAATAAATTCCCATCAGAAGTAACTAAAGATGTAGACTCATAGAATCCATATTGCTCAAACTAAAAAGTAGGTATAATAAATGATAATTTAACATATGTTAAAATCCTAATGTTTTTGAAAGCAAAGTAGAAAATTTATTATAACAGAAATGAGATCAGTTGTGCTTGTTTATATGTGGATTGCTCTTAATCGGTATACTAAGTCTTGAACCATTTATGAATTATATATATTATGACAGAGTATAACCAATTGAATTATAGCTGTTTAATTTTAAAAACATTATTTTTCCTTATTTTTAGGAAATATACAGTGAAGAATTTAGGGGTAAAGGGGCATTATGCTGCAATTTTTAAATGGTTCAGAAAAATTAATATGTAAATATGTGTGCATGTGTGCTTGTGTGTATACACACATACACACATAAATATACATATGAAGGGAGGAAAAAAGATAAAAATAAACTAAATGTAGTAAAATGTTATTATGAAGGACATATTTTAACTTTCTATGAGTCTGAAATTATATAATAATTTTAAAGGAAAGAAAATTTTTGGTAGATCATAAATAATAATAAATTATATTCAAGACTATTAATCAGAAGATAAGTGATAGAACTTTTGGTAGTCTTTATAAATGAAACAGTGAAGTGACAACATACATTTCCACAATTGGGGAGACTTTCATGATTTCTTAGTATTAGCTTTTTTCAATGCTTTATAATAAACCTGACCAAAATTCAATTGGAGGCCTAAGGAGAACTACAAGTGCCCATATGAAGTTTTTTTTGTCCCTTGAAAGGAACAAAAAAAGTACACACACATCAGCAATTCAAATAAAACATCATTCCCTTTTACACAACTGAAATATTTTTCCACAGGATAGATACACTAGGATAATTATATTACATGTTGTTTTACTAATTTTACTTTTAAATTATAGGCTTGGGAAAAGGAAGCCAGACTCAAGATGTCTGTTACTTCTTTTTATCTTCCATGTTATTTATTGTCCCTATAATTTCATGGCTATAGGAATGAGGCAAATTGGTAACTAAAAATATATTTGGAAGAAGGAATAGACTTAGAAGTCATTTATTTTCTGGAAGAATTTTTTTTAATTTTCCTAAAAGATTCGCTATAGATGTTTACTAAGAATTAATAAGCTCACCAATACATTTACAATATGGTTTGATTTATGACTCATTATTTTTCAGTACATGATCAAAGAGGACTATAAGGTTTTAGGCTTGACACAGTTTTGAGTTTGAATGTACTCGTGATTGAAAGGGTGGTGTCTGTCATTGGCGTAACGTAGGGAATAATCTAGGGGACAGACTTCCAATTGGAAATCTTTGTCCTGGAATCAATGGTTCTCCCTCCGTCCAGGACAGTACTGTCCTCAGAGGGGCTGTGGAAACACATGGGAACATTTTCATGTGACAGCAACAGGATGATTTGAAAAGTAGTAGGAGCCAGGGCTACTCAACATCCTACAGCGCAAAGCTCACAGCAGAGAAATCCCCCGCTTAGAAGGCCATGAGCGTCCCCATAGTCCTCTGCGATCTACTCCAGAGCGAGGATTCTATGAGTCTGTGACCCCAATGAGGTGCACCTTTATGTCTGCTAAGTGTTATCCTGAGACTTCTTATACCTAGCAGTGAATGCCTGTCAGATGACAGTGTTCGTGTGTGTGTGTGCCCAGCCTGTTTTGTCCAGAAAGCAAGAGACCTTAATGGACAGTAGGATAACTTGGCTTACCTGCCCTATCTCTCTCTTTCCTCTTACTGCCCAGGCTTCTTGGGGTTCAGTTTCTGTAATGAACTATGTTCTGACCACCAGCATGCACCCTTCTTATATTTTCTTAGTCCTTGTAGAATACTGAAACAGGGTGGTAATGATGATAGAAAAATTATAGTTTCATTGTGGGTGGGTCATTCGCATAGTCTCACAATTAGTTGATCTTTCCTTCTAAAATATGGAACATAAAGAATGTTAGGGAGCAACTTATTGCTTGATTTTTCACTGTACCGCTGGAAGCACTTTGTCGTGTCTTTAATTGAATAACTTTTATAGGAACGTTTAAAAAAATAATGACACGAAAGCGATTTTCACAGACTCAAAATAAGACAAAAATCGTCAGTCTTAACTTTTCCCAGTGGAAGTTATGTGCCACTCTGTGTGTTACTTTAATATTTTTATTCTTGCCCCGTCTTAGTTCGTTCGGGGTGTTAACAACAAAATAGCATAAACTGGATGGCTGTTTATAAAACAGAAAGGGCTTATTGCTCACCATTCTGGAGGCTGGAAGTCCAAGATCAGGTGTTCTGGTGAGGGTCCTCTTCGGGATTGTAGACTGCCACCTTCTGGTTGTGTCCTCACGTGCTGGCAGGGGCAAGGGAGCTCTGTGGGGCCTCTTTGATAAGGACACTCATCCTAATCACGAGAGCAGCGCCGCCAACCACTTCCCAAAGATCCCACCTCCTAACACCATCACGATGGGGATCAGGATTTCAGCATACAATCTGGGGAGACAGCAACATCCAGACCTTAACGTACCTAGTTGAAATAATTTGAGGTGTCATGCAAGTGTCATGCTACTCAAGACCCTGTTAACATACTCTATTTCTCAGCTATGAGTTTGAGGCATGGGTTTAAGACATACTTTTCAGAGCACTTGATCTCAATAGCTTCTTGAGCAGTCTTATAAAAAATAATAGCTCTATCTCTTCTTTGGGATTTAAACAATTAATTGATGCTCTGGTTTATATCTCTTTGAAAATGTTTTCAAAATATTTGCTACCCACCATTAAAGTTTCATCACCATAATCTCACGAGCGCTAATTTGTTAATTGGGAAGCTATTATTAGCCAAGCTTCCCCAAAAGGCAGCAGGGCGGGGTGTACCAGCTATGCACCATTATCATTATACCCGTGTCTTCTAAATAGGAACATAATTAACATTGCAGAGCAAGCACACCTCTGCCTCTAGCTACTCTGGTTCTTGGGAAGGCCAGTTGAGAAAGAGGCTCTTTAGAAGCCAATGATCTTAACTGAAGTCAATCCAACTAAAATTTTAAGTTAGCTTTCATTTAAAATTAAATAAGTAAATAAAAACAAAGCTTATATCTCTGAACACAATCAAAGGGCAGTATAAAAGCTGTGTGTGTGGGGGGGGGGGGGTGGTTTTGCCTCATGCCTAGAAATGACTGCTTTAGAAAATGGAAATTGAAGCAGTTGAATTAAATTCCATGTATTCATACTCCTCTGATGGGTTTCTTCTTTGACTCAGCCTTTCAAAAAAATTTGTGGGCCCCAGGGCTGTCAGTGACTCCTCTCCCTCTCCCACCCCTTCCTGGGTCCTCAATAGGAGAAGCTGAGATGAGCCCGCATGAATTCTCGTGATTGAGGAGGAGGCGAGAAGAGAGACCTTTATTCTCCACAAAATTTGGCCATCTCTCCAAAGAAACAATTGTTTGGCATCTCAGTAATATCCTTTTAGTTTAGTCAGTATGAGACCCTCGCAACATCAGCAAGACATTTTTCTGGTCATCCAGTGTTGGTGGCAGAATTACGGCAACTCCTTTATCCATCGTCCACCTAAAGTATATCAAGGAAGCAAGTGTTAACATTTCCTTCCAGAGAAGGACTGTACAAGGAGGCGTAGGAATGGAACTGCGCTAGTCTAAGCTGTAATTCACCAAGGCATGCTGCATTAGGTACCACTGGAAACACAATCAGGTAGTTACAGATAGTTACAGGGTAAATGATAGGCTTAAGCAGGAGTGCTGTGTCATGATTGTTATAGCGTGCACGTGGGCATGTAGGGGGCCATGGTATTAGTGTCTACAGTTGCCAATCAATGAAAACCTTAAAATATTTCCTAAACCTAATAACAGTTAAAAACAATTATTGAGATATCTGCTTGCTAGAGAGATCTTATGGGTTAGGCCTCATCTGATTCCTCTGGATGAAATAAAACTCGCTTCTGTCACTCTGTCTCTTACTTTCATGGTTTTACTTTTTAGCCCAATCTGAGCCACGTGTGTGCGCACGCACATGCGTGCATGCGTGTGCGTGTACACGCCTCTCATTTGGCATCTGCCTTCCTCACTAGAAGAGAATCCTCCAGAAAGCAAAAAAAAAGGAATGTCATCAGTTTTCTGCATCACTGTTTGTTGCATGGGGAACCAAGAACAGAAATAGGAGTTCAATAAGTGTATGTCACACAAATGAGTAAAATGAATGCATGACTAGTAAATGCTGAACTCTCTTTTTATCTTTTGTTTTGTTTTAGTTGCAGAATTAAGAAAAATCTTTGAACCAAAGAGTAAAGAATTTTTAGAAATGAAAAGGTAAGATATTTATTTTATATAATTAGAAAAAGTAGAAGAGTTTGGCCAAACTATCAGTTTTCCCTTAGAACTGATTTTCACTGCTCACTCTGCCTTTTTTGGTATCTTGCACAGAAAAGAAAGAATTGCCAGGCGCTTAGAAGGAATCGAAACGGACACCCAGCCCATCCTTTTGCAGAGCTGCACAGGACTGGTGACTCACCGGCTGCTGGAGGAAGACACGCCCAGATACACGCGAGCCACAGACCCGGCCAGCCCCCACATCGGTGAGCACTGCCTCGTGGCCTGTCATCAAGCAGACTCCCCGAGCTGTTCCATGTAGGCTTTTTTACCTAGTGGTACTGGAAAACGAGATATTCCACAAAAGTGAATTGTATAGATGTAATTATTTATTAAATACACATATTTGTTAAAAACCACAACAACATGTACATCGGCTCTGCCCTGCCTCACAGGTGTGGTCCTCCAGTGTCACAGCAGTGGCACCCTGTGGCGTAGTCAATGACCAGTCATTCCTCCCTTTCAAGGGCAGGGACCGTGTCTCTCTCTTTGCATCTCCGGGCCCCCGGTGCAGGACCTGCTTGCCGTTAGAGATCCTCAGTAAAAGTTTGTTTGGTAAAGGAGTAAATGAGACGCATTGAAACAAGCACAGGGCACAGCTGCTCTTAGGAAGGACTGGGCAGAGCTGGACCTCGAGTGATTAGGGTTCTTACTCTACATGTTTACGCAACAAATGTTCTATTTAAGTTATTTTAATATATATAATTTTAAATGGATTACACATTTATTTCATATTAAACAATTAGTCAGACATGACTTAGCTTTTCCTTGATTCCTCAGTTCTTGTTGGGGGCATCAAAACTTGACCTTGGGAGAGGGCGACCCATCCAGGGCTAGTCTTCTCACCCCCATCCCTGGCTCTGCGACTCTGCTGCTCCGTGGTGCTGCTTTTTACAGCCAGTGTTTCCTAGTTCTTCCTCAGACAGGGCTGTTGATTTCACTTCATGATATTATCAATTTGCTTGTGTCTACAGTTTCTGATGTTTTATGGCAAGAAAACTAGAGAACTTAGAGTTTTAAAATTACATACATGAATAAAGAATAGACAGAGAATCAAATTTATAGCCAGAAATAAACCCTAGTGTATATAAAACATTAATCTATGTATTATATGATCATTTAAAGTATCACATGTTGGTGAGAAAAGGAAGAATTATGTAATAAAATGGTATTGGGAAATGGACTGTAGTGGAGTGGGGAAAAGAACACATTTCTCACTTTACACTGAACACAAAAATAAGTTTCAATTAATTACATGATTAATTTTTAAAAAATAATTAAAAAATATGAAACCATGGTAAATATTTAATTCTAGTTGAATGGAAAAGGACTGTCCAAACACAGAAACAGCTGTAGAAATCACAAATGAATGGGTCAATTGACTTGACTACATAACGATTAACATCTGTGCTCCAAAGAAAATCTTACACATAAGCTTCACAAAAAAATTAAACAAGCCAGTTTGAAAATATTTATAAATAAGATAAAAGCTCATATTCCTATAGAATTTACGCAAACCAATAAAAACGACACTATAAATCAATTGGATATAGAACAATAAGCTTGACCAGGTGGGTATTCCAGAGAAGAAAAAGATAATACAAATGGCTAACAAAATAATTTAAAAATGCATATATTCTCTTTTTCTAGTAATCAAAAGAAATCTTTAAAATTAATGCTTAATGTTTATAAGAGAGTGCATATTGCGGATTCAAGTGTAAATTGATGCAGACTTTATAGAAATTATTTTGACAGTCTAGTATGTGTCTTAAAATGCTGTACTTTATGATAAAGCAATTTACGAGTCTATCGTGATAGTAATCAGAAAATCAGACTGATTAAAGGTTAGAAACTACTTAAATATCCACTAATATGAGAAGGGTTAATTATGGAATGCCTGTAGGATAGAATATTATGAAGCCTTAAAAGAATGTCTTCAAAATAAGATTTCTGAATATAGAAAAATGTTTTATATGGAACATGAATGTTGTATAAAACATGAATTATTTTAAATCGGATAAAAGAATTCAATTATATAAAAGACTAGAAGGAATATATAGAAATGTTCGGCGTATTATCAATTTATTTATTATTGCTTATTATATATTAATGATTTGGAGTTTCACCTTCCTGTGTTTTCAGGGTAGACATTTTCTACATCAAGCATGTGTGCTATAACTGGAAAAAGCCACTTCTATTAAAAAAACCACACACACACACATACACAACAGCAACCCAGTGAATATTGACATGGGCCATTATTGTTATGATTACTATCAGACCCTATGAATTCACAATCCCTCCCTTGTCCAATTACAGCAGTTTGAATATCTGCAATCTTTTATAGAGGGCTCAGAACTCATCCTTTGGCCTCACACATGAATATTAAACTCAAAAACAAAAACGTAAATCAATAAGGGGAAATAAGTACTGAGCAAGGACTCACGAGCTCTCGGGAGCGAGGTGGGGACTGAGCTTTGGTTCAGCCCATGCTTTGCATCTTACAAGCCCATAGAACATTTTCAGCCTTTGCAGATCTCAAATCCCTTCAGCATCCCAGGTAAACCATTTTAGCTGAGTACTCCCATGTGAGAAACTGGTCCTTCACAGCCTAGGAACTCGAGTGTGTATTGTGTACAAAACAGAGTATAGTAAATGCGTGTCTTTACTTAAATCTGTATTTATTATCTGTGTGATCTTCTTATAGGCCGATCAAATGAAGAGGAAGAAACTTCTGATTCTTCTTTAGAAAAGCAGACTCGACCCAAACACTGCACAGAAACCTCAGGCGTCCATGGTGACTCATCCTATAGTTCAGGTATCATGGACACCCAGGGTCTTGAGTCCAAAGCTGAAAGGATCGCAAGGTACAAAGCAGAGAGGAGACGGCAGCTGGCAGAAAAATATGGTCTGACGCTGGATTGTGAAGCAGACTCCGAATCTCTGTCTCGATATACCAAGTCCAGGAGGGAGCCCGATGCTGGTGAGAAACGGGGAGGAAAGAGCGACAGGCCAGCCGAGTCAAGCAAAGATTCGAGTTCCACGTACTCCAGGACCGAGATCCCGGGGCTCAGGACCTGTGTGGCTGAACCCCAGGACTATACCCTCCACGGCAGGGATGATGTCTCTGACACGGAGGTGCTGCTCAACGTGGAAAACCAAAGACGAGGTCAACAGCTGAGTACCACTGGACAGCAGTCCCGTGACCTGGCGCCCACGGCTGAGAGCTCCTCATCCTTCCCATTCTCTGGGCGAGACTGCTCCTTCGGTGAAGTGCCAAGGTCCCCAAAGCAAATGCACAGTGTGCCCCTCTCCTCACCTCGGCAGCCAGCCTCCCCGAGCCACTCCAGTGATCCGCCACACCCCACTGAGGCTCGACCCAGGTAAGCATTCAGCCCAGGCTGGCCACCATTCGCATGGGAAGCGCCTGTGCCTTCTCTCTGCCTGGAGGTGTCTTGTAGTCAGGGCTCGCAGCAGAAATAATAAGATACGGATTTTTGATTTCCACAGTATCAAAACAGGTTCTCAAAGCAGAAACCCTCACGTGCTTGTTTTTTTTAATAAACTGAACAAGTGTCATAGGGACATTTTCATGGATACCTTATTTCAGGACCCTTCTTTTTAATGTTTCTCACCTGCCTTTTAATAATTGTCATTACCTGTTTTTCTGAAATCATACGCAAGACTTTTTGATGATTGCTTTCATTGCTTTCATTTAAAATCCCAAAGCAGAAGGACCGCCACTAACCAATGGGAGGGTCTCAGTTTAGTGTATGGAGTATGAGTACTATATGCACTGAAAACAACTATAACATACAGTTATGTAAGTATATCGACACACTAAGGAAACAGGTGTTTGTAAGAATACCTTATTAAAAAGATCAGCCATTAAGAGAAATAATAGGATCAACCAAAGACAAGAACAGCTCCCATTTGGAAAAATTAGAACAGGTATAAAATCAGAAAATCAAATACTAAGCAGAAGACAATATGTGTTTCTTTCTAATTTAAATTTAATGAGTATGATGACCATATTTAAAATACAATTTTCTTAAATATTGCACTTTAAGGTTTAGGGTAATTACCTAGGTAAACTCATAAGTGTATTTTTCAGCTCAAACAAGCATTCACTTCACAGGTGAATTGAGGAAGGATAAAAACCTAAAGTCAAGCAAATTTACTCTGAAAAAAGAAACTTGGAAAATATTTCTATTTATTTTACATTGGGACAGAAGGTAAATGTGGTCATTTTTGCATCATTTTAATATATCTAAATATGGCCTCTTTTAATATATCTTAAAACAGATCATTTTAGTCATTGAAGTTTATTGAGCCAAAGACCTGTCACTACTTACTTGATCATCCAAACTAAAATATTTCAAGATATCAGCTTTTAAGAAAATTAAATGCTATAGATCCTGAGGTTGGATTTTGAGGGTCTTTGTTAAGCTGTGGATGTAACTGCTTGAAATTTAGGGACTGTGGCTTTTGTCTCATATTTTGAAAAGAAAGTCTGTTGTTTGGGAAATTTGCATTTCATAAAAGAAACCTTGTTCTTGGCTTAGTTACTCTCTATCAAAGCGAATTCTTCATGTGCTTTGAGAGCAAGACAAAGAAACCTAACATTCTAATTTAGAAGGAAAGAGATTTACAATTACCTGGGTTAAAAATAATGAGGAATCTAATTTCTGGTTGCTGTATTCTGAAAATTAAGTTGTTATCACAGCGTCTAGGTTGTCATCTAGATCACATACGATAGAGTCTCAGTGATATTTTAAATCAGCTGTAATAATAATTAAAACTTCATTGAGTATTCCAGGTAAAAAGCACACTTAATCGTTTGTGTGACTCAAAATCTTAATATTCAAAAATATATATAACTTAAAATCTGAAGCCATTTCTTTCTAGGTTATTTGAAGAAGCACATTACCTAGAAGCTTTCCTAAGCCTAGCCTTAGCCTCCCATTGCCTTACTTTCACAAAGAAAGCCTTAAAATAATTAAGCAATTGTAACAGAGTTCTTGAGGAAGCACATACTTTATTTTTTTTAAAACCATTTAAGGCATACAATTTTATGATTTATAGGCAAAGAAACACAAATCGTTTCATATATAGAAAGAAAATACCTGAGATATCTTCACATTAAAAAGGATGGAAAATATTGTGGGACATATGCATTAAAAAATAATTAAAATTTATTTAGTAATAACTCCAGTTTTTCATCTTGTGAAGATAGATTTAAAAAGGGCTAACATTCTGCTAGATGTTCTCTCTTTAGCACCAGGTAATTCTTAATTAAATATGAATACATCATTCATCAATATACCATCCAAAGACTATCTGTGGTGGCCTAAAAATTCAAATGTGAGCCAGGTATCAAATGCTCAGTTCCAATATGGACTCATAAACACTGACACATGTGCACACAGAACGACCGTTAGTTAGTTCTTGTACTTCACGGTTCTGTACTGGTTTTAAGCATTATAAGCTCAGTAATAGTCTTAAGGGTGTTACTTAGCTAAGCAATAGAATTATTGTAGAATTATTTAATGTTGAGCGTATATGCTAAAGAAGATATACATGTATGTATATAGGGTACAAGAATCCTGTTAGTTGCCTGAGAATCAGGCAAACACATTGTTCTGAGGTAAGTTAAGAATACACGTAGTAACGGAATAGAGCATAAGACACCTCCCAACCCCCTTTTCTAAATCCTGCCAAGCCCTGTAAACTTAAAATTTCAGTAATTGTGTTTTCCGGAGAAGTAGCGTTACTGATTTGAACCATTCTTTGTCGATTCAGCCACTGTGGATTTTAGAATAAAATTTAAAGTGATCGGGGGCCTATGGATTATTCAATTTTTTAAAAATCCGAGCTCCTGCTACTATTAGACATCCTGAATCAAAGCTCTAATATAATTTGCTATTTTGTACATCTCTTATTATTAGAAAATAAATAAATAAATAAATAGAATGCGCCGTACTGGTTATTTCTGTGAGTGGAGAAACTCAGATGCGAGTCCCACGGCTGCTGTTTTCCTGACCCTCAGCTGTGACTCCCTTGTTCACAGTAAGCTATACGGCTGACAAAGAGGGAGAGGCACCTACTTTCCTAGTGGTGATCCACAGGAGAAAACCCTCGCTCGTTTTTTTATTACTATGATCCTCCCCACTCCTTCTCCCACTTAGCAAATTCTAATATCAGTGGCTGGAAAGTGATGATGGTGATTTCATGCAGAGCTGATGCTGAAATTTGACCAGGGCACAGCTGCCATTGGTAAATGATGGTTTGGACAGGGCCCCCTGTGACACCGGAGAGCTGTGGATGAGCTCGGGAATATAGATTGGGGCACTCTCCAAAGTGAACTGTTTCTGTAACACCGTGACATGCCGACTGGGCCACCTGAGAAGGAAAGAGGCTTATGCTGCATTCTTATAGTGTATTTCTGATTGCATTTACTCATCTCACAGTGAGAGGCTGGAGTCTAAAAACTGTTCCCAGAGCCTCAAGGTCATTCTTCTAGTTGTTGATTGTCTGCTCACCTGCGCTGATAGAAATGCCCACAAGAGAGTTATGCTGAGAGAAATGACTGCCTCTTGACCATCAGCATCCCTCCGATGGCAGGAAGGTTCTCTAACGCATGCTCCATGTCACAACAGAATGTCATGGAAAACGTAGACTGCTGAGGATCCACTCTGCAAAGAAGAGACCTCTAGGTTTATGCCAGTATTGGCCTGGAATCCTTTTCAGCTTTCAGTCTCTGTACCCCAAACATCCATTGTCCTCTCCCTGCTCTCCTAGCCTTGGCTGTTAACGTATACGTAATTCGTTTCATTTTCTTTTCATTTTATTCTGTTCTCACTGAAAAGCGTCAATTTCTGTTCATTGAATTAAATATGAATAGGTCACCCAAAATGTTTGCTACTATGTCCTGAAAATTCAAATGTCTGCCAGATTTCAAATGCAGAGTTTTGTCTGTACGCGTGTGCCCTTGCACGTTCATACACCCGTGCATATATCCAAAGCAATCATTAGCTGTTTTTCCAAACAAGCAACTTTAAGCAAATACCCTGTAAATTTGAATGAGACGCTAAAGTTAACAGCCATTCTCCTTAAGCCGAATAATGTTTTATAATTAGAAGCTGTTACATAATTAGATCTGGACTCTCACGGGGTGAAAGTAATTTTGCTGTGCTGGATTTGACCTTACTTTGGTAGCAGGAAACACGTTTTATTCTGTTGACTCTTAGGGGTTATAGAGAGTTAAAGCATGTCATAATATACTTAGGGACACAAATTAAGAGCAACTCCTATCATCCAGGCCAACTGAAGGTGAGTTCTTACTCCTGGTAATATAATTCTCTGCCAGCCAGTTGCTACATCATTAAAATAGTTCTTACACCTGAGGTAACCTCTGCCCTACGGGGAGTTCACTCACCCCAATACTCCACAAAATAAATACTTGATTTTAAAGAAGTTTAAATTCTTAGAAACATAAATAACCCTGGAGATTATTTAGTTTAAAAACCTATTTTATACATGAAGCAACTAAAGATTAAAGAACATAAGTAACTAGATTAAGACCATATAGCTACTTTAACAAAACTGAGTCTCTATCCATTATTCATTCATTCAAGTTCTCTGAATCCATCAGACCTTTCCATTATACTCTGCTCTTGTTATTTGTGTCAGTTCTATTTTCCATCATAGTGGACAAACAGAGTTTGGCCCTTTTGCCTTTTGGTGGTTAGAAATTTTAGAAAAGATCAGGGGTGTTACAGGAACATTTTATGTGGATTTATATAAGGTAACCTTTATGTGGATTACATAAGGTAACCTTTATGTAAGGTAACCTTTATGTGGCCTTCATAAACTAAATGAACACTTGTAGTACAGGAGGATCCAAACTCAGTAGGTATCTATCCATCTATCCATACCTCATAGGTATTGATTTATGGGTTAATTTCAGCTCTAAGGTAGTTTAGCTGATCAGTGAGGAAAATTATATTGAGCCATTGAGCCTTCTATGTTCCAGGCACTCTCATTCTAGCTGGGCATATCATTTTTTAAAATGTGGGAAATAACGAAACACAATGGTGTAAATAAGGTTCTAGAGGCCAAGGTTAGGTGCCGTGGGAATACCAAGATGATGTATCACTTCTTCCCCTGAAGGAAGTGATCATAATTGAACCGAGCCCTTAAGGATGTGGTGAGTGTGCAGGACTGGAGGGCACACTGCCCCAGGCAGGGAGGTGCAGATGTCCATTGTAAACCTAGAAAGAAGGGGACTAGGTGAGGCCAAGAGCCAGGTGGGGACCAATCCCGGGGCGTGCTTTGTATGACACAGCAAAGCATCTGGTCCTTGCCTCATGGACAGTGGGAC